CTATCATTATTATTTGGCCTTTTTAAACCTAGTATATTGATATTATAAAAAGTTAGAGTTGATAATTGCTCGAGTCTCGAGTGCCATCTCCGTCTCTCCATCAGCAAGTATTCAGGTCGGCTGAAGAGTTTGCAACAGCTAATGTAATTTCTTCATCTTTTTCTTTTAACTTGTAATTCTTCTGATTAGGGAAACAAGCGGGCAACCATGTTTTTTCCTTATATTTTTGTATCTCACTCTCCCACCTTCCCTCCCTCCATCTCTCTCAATTTTTATTGAATCTCTGAAATTTGTTTTCTTATTCGGATAGTTTGCAGCTATTGGTATTTGTTTTGTTCTTCTTTCTAAAAACTAAAATTTTTAAAATTTGTTTTTGAATTTATAATCTATTTAGAATTGAGTTTTGGAGTTTTAGCGTTAAAATGTTCATCATGATTATCTTTTTGCCTGTCTATTTTGCCTTTTTTTTTGTTTTAAATGACAAATGTGTATGGTTATGTAACTTTTATTGGACATGTTATGAATGATGCATTTCTTGTACTCTGAAGTAATCATTTTACTCTTATTTCAAAGAAGACAATTAATCAAAATCTTGTACTCTGAAGTAATCCTTTATATATTGATGCACGTAATAAAAATATTAGAAGACAATTAATCAAAATCTTATCTCACTATTAGATGAATCGGGGATACTAAAGATATTATCTCACTATAAGATGAAATACTGATACATTATATGTAATTAATCCATTCGAATACCTGACGACTTACCAAATTATACGATGAACCAAGGGAACTAGAAGAACGTGTCTTTTCCGTACTGAGTGTACCTGCTTATGACAAGGAAGAAACCCATCATGAAAAAGGAAATATGGATGTGCATGTGTTTGTGTGTGTTTGTCCATAAAAGAACAGATTTAAAAAGTTACCATCCAAAGTTTTGTGGCATATATCAGCTCTAGTGTTTTTCCTTTCTGAAATAAAGTTCAATAATTCCCCATTGTAAATTTCATTTATTTCTGAAAGGAGCTCGGGAGGAAGAGAGTCTATAACACCCATATCAAGATCATGCATAGGAGGAAGACCAGCATCTTGTCTATTACCAACATTACTAGTAGACGGCCTAGTATTGCTTTGAACCAAAGGTCCTACTAAAAAACGTGCTAAATGGGTAGTGTCTTCATCAACACTTTGATTACCATTACCTGCAGAAAAAAAGAAGTGTTTTGTTCATGTGTAAATATAGCTACAACAAGCTCAAGGAACTTTAAGCTGATTGAAAATAAACAATTGATAAATGGTATTCATAGCATACTGAATACGATAAAAGGAGCAAACAGTTCAGAGATGAAATAACTTACTTTCCAAAACCTAATATCGTGCAGCCCACACCTCAGATAATTCGTGCAGGTGAGCTCAGTCATGGTTTTCGAAGGCATTTGAGGAGGTGTGCCTCAGGGTGCAAAGGCAGTGGCTTTAAGCCTCGGGCGCTTATGCTTCAGTTGTGACAGATGAGGCTTACGCCCCAGGTTTATGAGGCAGAAGGGAGGTGTAAGCCTCAGTTTTAACGAGAAATTCATTAGTGTGATGGGTTATTTTTAAAAAGCTATGGGCTTGAGGGTTCACCATATATATCTATCATTATTATTTGGCCTTTTTAAACCTAGTATATTGATATTATAAAAAGTTAGAGTTGATAATTGCTCGAGTCTCAAGTGCCATCTCCGTCTCTCCATCAGCAAGTATTCAGGTCGGCTGAAGAGTTTGCAACAGCTAATGTAATTTCTTCATCTTTTTCTTTTAACTTGTAATTCTTCTGATTAGGGAAACAAGCGGGCAACCATGTTTTTTCCTTATATTTTTGTATCTCTCTCTCCCACCTTCCCTCCCTCCATCTCTCTCAATTTTTATTCAATCTCTGAAATTTGTTTTCTTATTCGGATAGTTTGCAGTTATTGGTATTTGTTTTGTTCTTTTTTCCAAAAACTAAAATTTTTAAAATTTGTTTTTGAATTTATAATCTATTTAGAATTGAGTTTTGGAGTTTTAGCGTTAAAATGTTCATCATGATTATCTTTTTGCCTGTCTATTTTGCCATCTTTTTTTGTTTTAAATGACAAATGTGTATGGTTATGTAACTTTTATTGGACATGTTATGAATGATGCATTTCTTGTACTCTGAAGTAATCATTTTACTCTTATTTCAAAGAATTATATGCATAAATAGTCTTTATGGTCTTCATAAGTAGGTAAACAGTCTTCGTACTTTCAAAATTTGTGAAATAGTCCTTGTTATAGAAAAAACCATTGCATAATTAGTCCTTTAAAGGAAACACGAGGCACGTAGAACACGCACATACTATGCGAAAATATGAAGCATGTGATAAAAGCAGAGACAACAAATGCACTATGTAGATTAGAGAAGTCAATCCAACCAGGAAACCACCGACAAGACACAAAATAGCCGAAACAAATATCTTATAGAAAGTGTTGTTTTCCCAGTCATAAAATGAAAAACAAACCTTGTTTAGTATTAAATGCCATCTCAAGTTTTGTAACTTGCAAGCCCATTCCTCTTATATCCTCTACATCTGCATAGAAACAAACAAAACAGCTAAATTGAAAGAAAGGAGAATTAGATTGATACATATAATTAAGATAGAGCCCATAAAAAATATACCCTAGTAATAAAAATGTAGGGACTAGAACTACTCGAGAAAGACAACCACTACTTGCATGCAATGACCAGAAGAGCTAGGGTTATGTGCATCTTTTATAAAATATTACTACCTCCTTCCGCTATTTTTGGGACAAGGGAAAGTGGCACACAAATTGGGAAGAGGGGAAGTTAAAAAGTACAAATATTACATTTAGTAAACCTAAGAAGTAGGTAGGAGCATTTAAATTAATTTAGTTTCACTCTTATTATCCGTGTAAATTTCACATGAGAAGATCAATTTAGGATGGATAAAGTAATCAATTTCGCACAGCAATAACATAACATAAGTTTTAGCAGTCAACAACCTGTGCAAGTCCAACCAACCGGGTGTCAATCCCTCTACTGTAGTTCCATAACATATTACCAGTTTTTAGACCAAAATCTTTTTGAAGAGATTCCTGAAGGTAAATAAGAATAAATCCTCATAAGTTGGCAATAGTAGATATTGAAGTTTGGAAACAGAGAACATCATTTATCTTTACAGCATTAGACCTTGGGTATCATCCGCAGCTGCCCACAAGTTGTTACTAGTCTCTTTCTAAGTTTCTCTTCCAAGACATGACCAATTCCTGGGAGGGCTTTTACTGGAAGGTCATGTAGATACTCTTTAACCTGATAAAAGAGGGGGGGGACACAGCTATTTATACATAATTTTATATATCATCAGAATAGAACAGAAATGATATTCATTGATTTCATTCAGGTGTTTCCTTCACTTTATGTCTCTCATTCCCATAGGAGGTTGGTAGATATATGAGCTATTAAATTTACTTTTTCAGGAGGGATACAACATTGTCCATCTGGTTTAGCAGTTCTTGTAGCAAGACCCCGGTTCTCGTATAAAGATCGTTATGGTCGTGAACGTCACGTCGGACAACTGAGTTGTTAGAGGAAGGACTAGTCTACCTGTTTTCGAACTTACAGGAGGTGGGGACTCAGTCTGGCATCTAAAAATGCTTCATCGCAACTGACCGCCTACATTCACTAAAAATAGCCAATTGAAATGATACACACGAATATAATGTACTCAGAAAAGGATGATAAACATGGCAGACCTGAACTTTCTTGCAGTGTTTATGCAAGATATCATAAATTTTATCAGCGACCTATGAATCATAAAGCCCATGTTAGAGCCTATGCACAACTGAATGTTGTGAAGGCAGAGGAGAATGAGTGGCAAAAGAACATTCATTTTCACTCAACCAATCCCACAATACCTCTTCATATGCTTGAAAGTCATAAGAAAGAATGACAAGCTGAGGACAGAGACCTTTAGCATCTCTTACAAACATTCCGGCCTTAACTCCTGCAAAGAAAATTTCATGGCTAGCTGAATTTATTAACAAACAGAAATTTTCCCTGAAAAGAAATATCTTGATTCAAATCCAACCATAATTGAAGTATTTTGTTTTATGTGCTTCGGAAAAGTACAACTCGAAGACGTCTATCCAAATTGAGTAAAGATTGGCCTGTTTTCCTGTTAAAAAAACTAAAGTCTTAATTACCCAATTCAAAAAGACAAGTAAATTAAGATGCTTACCAGAAATCAGATTAGAATCACCATTAACTCAGAAGGCCTATCTCATCAAAAATTCTAAACCTGTGTTTTTATTGTGTTAGAGTCGAGTAACACGTGAAAGCGTTGTGTATATTGTAGATGATGAAAGTATTAACCTCTTTCCTGTTGTTGCTTCCTTGTCTTCGCACCGCATGCAATCACAGGTAGTTCCCTCATCGAAGTCAACTTTCCGGTTGCAAGTAGTACATCCGATGTAGTATGGAATAGGTCCATGCTCTTGAAGTTGTAGTTAGCCCTCTATCTTGTATGTTAGGTCCTGGATAAATAAAAGCATGATAGTACTAATAACAGTGGAGTGGGGCTGTCTAAAGCACATGAGTAATAATATTTTTAGAATAAGGGAATTTGGAACATGATAGCAGTAAAAAGGTATACCAGAACAAAAGAAAATGAAACAACATAAACCCAAAGAAGCAGCCTTCATTTAGCGAAAAGGCAAAAGGTGAGAACGACCTTTTTTTTGCACCAAACAAGACTGAAATGCACAGAGCATATTGATGTTTTTTAGGTATTGATGTTAAAGAAGCTACCAATGCAATCACACACATAAAAGTAGCAAAGCAATCACATTCCAAAAGAAAAAAAACATAGTGGAGTTAAAGGGTGCGTGGGTAGGAATATTCATTAGAGGTCGTTATATTAGGCGAGTAGTTGGAAAAAGCAGAAATGATTATGAATTGTACATGGAAGTTAAAAAGAAGCTAGAATGGAATTATAAATCAACAATTATAGAAGCGGGGGACCTTAAGTGGTTAAAGACGTGGGGTGAAGTCAGCACTTCTTTTTCCTTCTGGTTCTTTGAGAACTTTTCTGGATTTAAATGTCCACAAATTGTTAAATATATTTTAACAAAATATTCTATTATAGAGATTTTACTGATGAATATACTATGTCCTGAAGTTTATGTCAAGTTGTTAGTTTTGATCCTTCCCAACCCTTGGTGTTGAACATGCATTGGAAGGAAAAAAACTTCAGGTATTAGTGCATTTTCAAAGGTTGATCTCTATTTTGTTTAGATAAATTGATCTCAATTTTATCGTAAGCTTGAAATAAAACCAAAAAATCTAGGTTTTGAGATATTCAATTTGTATATATTTTTAAAATTTGCACCTTATGTGTCGTTTGCATATTGACAATTGTTGTTTTATGTTTTCCTAAGGCTTGTAGGGAAAGAAGAGAGATTTTTTGTTTTCCCAAGGCTCTAATTCTTCTTGAATAGAAATTAAGCAGCAGAGATATAACAAAGTTAAAATCCAGTACTCTACTTGCAGACAGGTTCAAATATTGAGCATGTGAACAAATTTAAAATCGACCTCAATCAATTGCTAAATGCAAACCTTTTGCATGCATATAGCCATATAGGTTTAGAAATTGAACATGTGAATATAAGAAAATAGCAGAGAGAGATATAAACAAAACTTAACACTATCAATTAGAGCGATTATCAATTCCTAGATGCAAGAACAAAACCTAATTTTATAAAATATTTGAGCGTAAAAAAGAAATTAAGCAGCAACATGGTGGCTTACAGAGGTATGATTTTTTTCTTAGAAAAAAAAGAAAAGCGGAGAAGAAAAGAAGAGAAAGGAGGCGACAAGAAGACACGCAATAGGAGGAGAAGAAGAGAGAAGAATTACCTGGATGAATCACAGCAGATACACAGGAAAAAGTGGCGGAAATTAACACTTGTGTAATCACTGTGACGATAATGGGCGGTTGACGGTGAGGAGGGCAGAGGTAGAGACGGAAAAAGAAACTTTGAGATAGAGGTGGAGATGTTGTTTCTCCGCATTAGAGGGACGGAAGAGGTGCGCAAGCGCCGTATTAGATTGACGGAAAAAATGCCAAAGTAACGGCAACAAACGTCATAGGCCCTTATAATATAAGGGGGGATGTTTAATTTCCACATACTCATGCAAAGTCATTATGCTCTCACTCTTTCCAATAAAATTGGTTGTTAAATCACCCATACCCAAATCCAAACATTTTGGTAGTGGGGGGGGGGGGGGGAGTAACTATTCATCTTTCCCCCCATCTTTGTAAATTAAAAGATTTTTAGGCAATTGATAAAAAGTAGGAGCTCCTGGTTTTATTTAAGGAATATTCGAAGTTCAAAATCAACATTAATAATCAAAGAATTGAATATGACAATGTTGCTGGTTACTCAATGTTATGTGAGTTTTTCATGCCATGTAAAGCAGTAAATGTAAGATGCTTAGAAAGAACACATTAGTTTGGATTCTTGATAAGCATTGACAGAAACGACTATCGTGAATCTAAAACAAATGGGTGCTAAGAATTCAAATGATCCCAACTCCGCTGCATGTGGGGCGGGAGAGGAGCAGAGAGCTTTATGTTTTCGACCTCTGAGAAAGTGTCATCTGAAGCATGTTGTTGCAAAGCCTGAGATATGTTGGGCAAAACCATCTCTCTGCAGTGCAGATGAAGATGAGGAGGCTGCTGCCTATCAGACACGCTGCCATTCCTCATATTGAAGCCAAGAGGGCCCAACTTCTGCTCGGGAAGATATTGCTTATTCAAATTCCTATGAGCTTGCCACCCGTATCTATAATCCCCAAGAATCGGCGTTCCCAGTACTTTAGCGCAGTGAACCCGCAGCTTCAATAACAATTGCAGTCAGTGTTCAGCATCATTTCATGCATGCTGTGTGTGTGTGTGTTTGTTGGCAGAATATGCAACAACAGAGTATGTGTCTATTAAAACATACCTGGTGCTTTCTGCCAGTAAGAGGAGATAGCTCTAACCATGTAAATCCTGCAGATTTTTTCGTTGTGTTATCAAGAAGATTTACAGATTTGTGGTGGATTAAGTGAACACAGACAAGCAAAAACTCAGCATGTACCAAAAATCTAACCCTTATCAGAAGTTTCAATGACTCGATACTCTGTCACAGCACATTGTGCTGATTGTGCACGGCCATCATCCATTATGGTAATACGGTCAGATTTCCCATTATCCACCATCACCTGAAAAGGAATGGAGAAAAAAATATGGAAACAGTTTCTGAAAGCTTTGTAGTAATGTAACACGAAGTAGAGCTGGAAAAAATTGATTCAACTTGTTTTTTCCTCGGGCCCGACTCAAAAGTCCTGGGTTGTAAAGAAAGATTTTGTAAATCGAACCCGAACATGACAAAACCCTAACTAACCCGCTAAAAACGGATCGAATCTGACTGACCCAAACCCGAGGTGACTGACCGGCTAAGGTAAGGTGTTTACAAAATCGTTACTTTAGTATGATATATAAAGTGAAAATAATCATGCTATCATATTATTACTATTATTATTATTATTATTATTTACTCCATTCCATTGTATAAATTTATCTTTTCTAACTAGTTTTAAATAATATTGTATTGGCATCTTACATTTTAAAAATAATAGGAAGTAAAAGTATAAAAATAAAAACAGTTGATATTTAAAAAAAAAATTACATCTGCAAAGCGATTGAGAAGAAAGAAACTAGAGAAGAACAGAGAGGAGGTTTGAGAAGATTACGGGAGGAAACTTTGGAGTAGAAGAAGCGAAGAAGTTAGAAGAGAATACCGGTGAGGAGATGACTCGGTGAAGAAGAAGACCCAGGTTTTTTACAAGATTGAGGTGAGGGTGCAATATGCGACCCGGCATGAATGTGATTTTTTTGAATAAAACAAACCTAGCACTTCTTTGAGACGTGTGACTGACCGAAGGCGCAATGAAGGGCGCTCTTAAGGAAATCACTGTGCCCAGACACGCCTCACACATGCTTTTGAAAACCAAACCCCACATGGCCGACATGTTTGCCAGCTCTATAACAAGTGACACACAGCAGAATATAAAATGAGGAATTGGAAACTACCAAAGGGAGTTGACTGTTCAAGTTTCACTTCCCTGGACAATGGGAAAGTTAGGGGGTGTTTGGATACGATTTTGGAAGCTAACTTTAGTCCTCCAAAGAGGACTTTGAATTAAATCACATTTGATTTGTGGATGCCATCTGAGAATAATCAACAAATTTGGAGGAACAAGCTTGACGCTTCTTTAAAACTCACTATGTTTGCTCCTGAAATGACTTCTAACAATGTGAGGGACAAATTTGGAGACAACAGATGGATTTGGATTGGATGGATGGAATTATGAAGTGTCATTTACCATACACTACCATTTTCAGCCTTCTTATTGGATCGCTAACAGTTCAGATTTGTCCTTACTTCCTGCAGGACATGGTTCTCATGTGGTCCCATCTCTATACATCATATACACATACAAACATTCATGTGTGAGTGTGAGTTTTCTTTTCAAATACATTATTTGACTGTATCCTTTATTTCTCAGTTAATTTCTTGCAAAGAATCTCAATGCCAAGCACTTAGAACAGAATAACTTTCTCTTAACACAAGAAATTCTAATACTAAAGATTGGCAAACATTAGTTAAGTGAGAAATATCTAGGGTGTGCATTCACCTTTCCCAGAGGCACTGAAATTATTCCTCCGGCACGTCTAGGACAACCAATTACAAGAGCCCAATACTTCTTTTGTAAATTTCTTTTTGTACGCTCAGCATCCTTTTAGAGTTGAAAACAGGACCATGTTAGAAAGAAGGTATGAAACAGATGTTTTCAGATGTTTCTTGTTCAGATAGGAAAATGGCAAAACCCATACATCACTAGATGCTTCAAATGTCTTCTCCCGGAAGATGGCATGCAAAACCGTCGCAGTCAATTGGGTTCTTCCCATCACCAATATCCCACTACAATCTCTATCTAGTCTGTGTACCTAGAAATAAGCTTGGCCACAACAACATACACACAAATATGAGATTTATGCTCGAAAGAGACAATAGAAACCAGCTTGGCGACAACAAATTATGCACAAATATGAGAATAATGCTCGAAAGAGACAAATATGATNCTCTGGATAGCCATATCTCATATATTTTGCAGCCAATTCATCTAAACTTCTTTTTATGCCTACACCACCCTGTAGAAGTGGTACAACAGACCATTGGCTTTTACAATTGTAATTTGTTAAACTTATAATTTAAAGTGAGAAATTGAAGTTCATAAGTTACCTGAACAGCCATCCCAGGCGGTTTATTTACAACAAGAATAGATGGATCCTGAAATATGATGAGGTGAACAGAATAAGACAATTATGGGAGTAAAGGTTTTGCTTCATTCCCTTGGCTTCAAGAATTAATTGCATTTAGCTTTTCACTTTCATTTATAGAGGGTAGTAGTGACTAATTATCCACCATACATTCCACACCTTGTACAATTCAATACTTTGAAAGAACTCTCTTTGCTCTTCACTATAAAAGTGCTCAACTTTCTTTTCAGCAGGAAACTTTTCAACAGTTATAGGAAGAACTATTTGATCCCCTATGTGCATCGGCTCCTTAGCATTCACCTTCAATAAGCATGACATATCACTCACACAAACACAAATAATTATCAACTATAAACATCGCTTCAAGGTAAATGAATAGGTGAACATTACAAGAAGTTGTATTTGTATGAAAGGAAAGAAAATCAATCTAAAGAGCCAATAGGTTCCATCTTACCCTCTTGCATTGAGGTTGTTGATCAGGAGAGGATAACCTTCGAACCTGCCGCAAAAGTACCACTAATGGTTATTAGATTCTCCTTTGGGAAACAGAAGACATTCCTCTTAGAAATGTATTATTATAGTATCTGTTTGACAATCTCAGAAATTTTAACTCGTATCCAACCCTATATATATATTGCTACATAAAATATGCACTCAGGTAGTAAAGATCAAGAATATCACATATGGATGACAAGAATTAGCTTAAATATGTAATGTTAATTTCCCAATTGCTCAAACTCAGCATATGGCGTGTGATCTAAAATTAAAAGTTTTAAAACCGTTTAAACACAAGAGATGAAGTTACATTTCAAGATTTTAACACACACGAATAAATCAACACAAATTCGAAAATTCCGCCAAAGCTAAATAGAAACCAAAAATAGACCTGTCTTAATCGAAACAGCTTTTGCACAAGAGACCTTGGAAACTCAGGGCAGCAATGCAGAACCCACTTCAGGGCCGTCATGGTGGTGGCACTTTTGCACTTAGTATCTGGTTGCCTTCCAGCGAGCTCTTTCCAAGGAGCAGCGCCATTTATAGAGGAAGTGTATGGAGGCAGAGTGAACCACTTGTCTTTCTTATTTGCAGTATCGGCTTCTTTCTCTGCCTCAGCTTTGGCTGTGGAAGAGGAGCAGCGGCAGCGACGCAGGTAGATGGCGGAGCTTGGCGGGTTCTCAATGCCAAGAACAGCGATCAACCGCCGGCAGAAAAAGGGAGCTCGGCGAAGGACAATACGCTCCCCCATTATGTAGAGGGTTCGAGGGCCAGTTCCTTCACTTGCTAAACCCCAAATTGAAATCCTCAAATCCAGAAAGAATACAACAATCCACTAAGATCCCACAAAAGAGGGTGTAAGAAGGGTATATGTAGGTAGACTTCACCCCTACATAGATATGGAGAGATTGTTTCAGAAAAGACTCTCAGGCAAAAGAAAAGTAAATATCCTAAAAAAACAAACTCTTTCCATTTTTTAAAATATTTTGTCTTTCATTTTTTTCTCTTTCTCCAAAATATTTTCACTTTTTATTAAAAAAACTATTTTTATCCTTACTTTTTTTTATCCTATCTATCACATCATACTTTTTCATTAATAATCTACTCATCGCATCATATTTTTACTCATCACATCAAAAGCAAAATTGGAAAGTCAACCATAAATATACAATCTTTATTTTGCTTTAAAGTCAAAATAGGAATCACTCTATTCTTAAAATCAGGGGAATTATTTTCCCGCCCAATGCACTCATCTCCTGCACCGTCGATATCAAGGAACAAACAAAGTCTACGACTATGATTGGTTGTGTAATATTACTTATTTAGAATGATAAATTAAAGGAAATTTTGCATGCATAATCACTCTATTCTGATAAAAAAGGACGGGAGTAATTTGTTTCCTAACCAATTTCGCCTAATTACTTGATTGTAATAAAAAAGGAAGGGACGGTGCAGGAGATTTTTTATATTTTGCTTCCTTTTTAAATAGGTAATTATTTACGCCTAATTATTACTATTATTATTATAATTACTTGGAATAATTTATGCCTGATTATTTTATCAAAAAGTAATTATTTATGCCTAATTAAATAGGTAATTATTTACTTAATCACTCTATTCCTAAAAGGAAATGCTTTTAAGAATAATAGAATAATAAATTTAAGGAAATTTCGCATGCATAATTACTTAATTCTGATAAAAAAGGAAGGGACTAATTTCGCAAACAAGATCTACGTTGTTTCGTTTTTAAAATAATTTTGCATACATAATTACTTAATTACTCTATTCTTATTTAGAATGATAAATTAAAGGAAATTTCGCATGCCTAATATATTTCTAAAAAGGAAACAAAATATAAAAATTATTATTTATATAAACTTCTTTTCTAATACTGAACTTTTTTATAAAATTGGAATTGATATAATAAAAAAATGATTACCATTCAACTAAAAATAATATTTGTCCATAAAAGGTAATAATCACGTTAAGGTGTAAACTTTTTAATCAATGCATTAAATTTTCTATTTCGTAATTTATATAATTTCCAATTAAGAAACAAACCATTTTAATCATACAAACCATTTGTTTCCTTTTCCAATTTAGAAACAAACCATTTTAATCATACAAACCATTTTAGTCATACGTACAAACCATTTGTTTCCTTTTTGGAAAGAAATCAAATCTAAAAGAAATGTCAAAGTAATGCATAGAAATGGCGGTACATATAGTAAGTGTTGAATAAATAAATGACAATTAAATCATAAATCACTGTGTAATAAGAATAGATCATGTATTACCGTGTAACAAGAATAATAATATTAATATATCGTGTAATAATATTGCCGTATTTAATCGTTATTAATTTATTACCATGTAAGAAGAATGATAATAATATACTGTGTAATAAAATTACCGTACTTAGTATTATTATCGTCTAATAATTCTAATCTAAGAAGTTTTCAATTTAAAAATGTTTCCATTTAGAGAACATGGTTAAACTTAATATTACCATATTTAATCATTATTAATTTATTACGGTGTGATTATGTTAAGAAAATAAGCTATCAATTTAATTATGTTTCCATTTAGAAATTCGGTGCCAAATATTTTATGAAGAAATTTAAATTTATAAGTTTATGCATTTAAAGAAGGCACAATTAAAAAAATCAAAATAAAAAATAATAAAAGAAATTAAATATAAAAAATGTCAAAGTAATACATAAAAATGGTGGCAAATATGTTAAGTGTTTAATATACAAATAATAATTAAATCATAAATTACTTTGTAGCAAGAATATATCACGTATTACCGTGTAGAAAAAATAATAATACTAATATACCGTGCAATAATATTAATGTATTTAATCATTATTAATTTATTGTCGTGAAAGAATTATAATAATAATATACCGTGTAATAATATTTATTATTATCGTGTAATAATTCCAACCAAATAAGCTTTCAATTTAATAATGTTTCCATTTAGAGATCCAGACCCAAACGTTTTATGGAGACATCGTTTAAAGAGGTGTGCCTTTAATACATGGAAAAGTATTGAATAATATATACCTTTATATGTTGAACAATCAACCACTAAATAATAACTTACCTGTAAAAAATTAGATGCATGGAAATAGAAAACTACTTTAATTTTTTCATACTTTAAATACAGTCATTCTCAATCACAATTCTCAAGGAATTGAGAATTGTACGAAATTATGCATTAATTTCTAAGCCATTGACTCACCTTTTAAAGAAGGGAAATTTCAAGTGGAATTCAGAAGCTACACAAGCTATGGAAGAGCTGAAAATTGCCCTTACCACTGCACCAGTTTTGGGTTTTCCGGACTTTACCGAAATTTTTGTGGTAGAAACTGATGCATCTGCCTATGGAATTGGAGCTGTTCTTATGCAAGATAATCATCCATTAGCCTTTTTAAGTAAGACTTTGGGCCCTAAATGGCAGCAAATATCTGTGTATGAGAAGGAGTTATTGGCTGTGGTACATGCAGTACAAAAATGGGAACAATATTTGAGCAGTAATACATTTGTAATCATTACAGATCAGAGGAGCTTAAAATGGCTCTTAGAACAGAAGATATCCACTCCCTTCCAACAATTCTGGCTATCTAAACTGATGGGGTTTCAGTATGAAATACAGGAGTGGAAATGAGAATGTGGTAGCGGATGCCTTATCCAGAGTGAGGGGATCAGAGTTGTTATTGTTGGCCATTTCTGGAGTCCAATCTGATATCTTAAAAGCTATTGAAGAAAGCTATCAATTGGACAACAATTTGATGGAAACCATAGCTAATTTGAAGCAAGGGGTAGTAATGAAGAAATACAGCTTACAAGGGAATTTATTGAGGAAGAAGGGAAGACTAGTCATAGGGCCAAATATTGAGCTGAGGGGTCAGATTCTAAAATGGGTACATGATTCACCTACAAGTGGACATTCGGGCAGGGATGCTACCTTAAAGAAGTTAAAAGGGTTGTTTGTCTGGAAGGGTATGACTAGAGATGTGCAAAATCATTTTAGACAGTGCCTAGTATGCCAAAGCTGCAAATATGACACTAGCCCCTATCCTGGTTTACTACAACCCCTGCATCACGGATTACTCCATACCTCTCTATATAGATACCTGAAGTATCTTCCTAACGGATTAAGACCTCCCTTCCTTCAGTATAACCATCAACACCTGTCTAAGTCGTTTATACCAGTAAAATACTGAAAGAGGCACCCTTTTACAGCTGTGGAAGTGGCTCAGGTCTATCTAGACAATGTGTTCAAGCTTCATGGGTGGCCTCAGTCTATTGTGAGTGATAGAGATAAGATATTCCTGAGTGAATTCTGGAAGGCTTTGATGAGTATACAAGGCACAGACTTGCTCTTGTCCACATCCTACCACCCTCAAACAAATGGACAGACAGAGGTGGTGAACAGATATCTAGAGGCTTATCTGAGATGTATGTGTAGTGACCAGCCAAAGGAATGGAGCAACTGGCTTCCTTTAGCAGAATGGTGGTACAACACCACCTTTCACTCATCTATACAAATGACACCTTATGAAGTTGTTTACAATCAGCCACCTCCCATTCATTTACCTTATCTCCCTGGAGAAACTAAAGTGGAAGCTGTGGACAGATCTCTCCAACGAAGGGAGGCTATGATTCAGCTTTTAAAATTTCACCTTTTGAGGGCTCAACACAGAATGAAGGTACAAGCAGACAAACATAGATCTGAGAGGCAATTGAAGGAAGGAGATTGGGTATGGCTTAAGCTCCAGCCATACAGACAGCAGTCTGTGCAAGCCAGGCCTAATCAGAAGTTGGCTCCTAAGTTCTATGGGCCATTCCAGATACAAGCTAAGGTTGGCCAGTTCCTTCACTTGCTAAACCCCAAATTGAAATTCCCAAAAGAATACAACAATCCACTAAGATCCCACCCACAAAAGAGAGTGCAAGAAGGGTATGTGTAGGTAGACTTTATCCCTACTTAGAAATTGAGAGATTGTTTTAGAAGAAACTAATATCGTTAAAAAACAAACTCTTTCCATTTTTTAAAATATTTTCTCTTTCATTTTTTTCTTTCTTCAAATTATTTTCACTTTTTATTAAAAAATATTTTTATCCTTACTTTTTTTCTATCCTACCTATCACATCATACTTTTTCATTAATAATCTACTCATCGCATCATATTTTTACCTATCACATTAAAAGCAAAATTGGAAAGTCAACCATAAATATATAATCTTTATTTTGCTCTAAAGTAAAAATAGGAATGGTTTTAAAAAACGGGAGTAACAATTAATGTCAAGAAATATATAGAGAGACGCATGCAAACAACTACAACAAAAGGATCCTGATTCAAGGGACTACCTAACTGTCTTTGATGGACAATAAATCCACCAAATGATCCGACTTGAACGGTGAGTTGAAAAAGAATTTACAAGAACAAATAACTCGAGAATTATAGAGTTATGCGCTACGTTTAACTTGAGGTTTCCCTTTCGGGTCCTCCATATTTATACACGCATTCTATGTAATTATGGTACTTTTCAATTCATGGAAACTAATCCGAGATTCGCGAGATCCCCTTCCTTCGGTTACATTTCCGCATTTAGCCACGTCTCCTTCTCCAACTCGGACTTCCCCAGCTGTATTCATTCGGGTCGATTCAGGCCCAAGCCCTTGGGCCGGTCGAGGGCTGATGCAGACGCACGCGAGTACCCAGACGCATCGGCCCATCACAAGCCCTCCAACTCCTCATTCATCAGGCGGGCCACATCGAGGGATGGGGAGTTGTGTAGGTCCATGTGGGCATCCCTCCAACAGATCCAAGCCGTCCCTTGATATTCGTGCAGAGGTTGGCACAATTTCCTTCAAATGCAACCATAACTTGCTCTTTCGCCTTCCTTCCTGCTCTGATAAAACCGTCGCTCGATGCCACTTTCAACCCTATCTTCATCAATCCGCTCTTTCGTTGCAACCCGACCCATTTTCTTCATTTCCAGCCAGTTCTTCACTCTCTATCATGTTCATCTCGTATTAAGATTCTCTTTCCCCATCATCTAGTTCTCTTTCGGCCGATCAACCAGCCCCTTCCGGCCAAGATCAGAGCCAATCCAACCCGCCCCAGCCGTCATCGACATCCGTAACCGGCCAGAAGCGACGCCGGATGAGGAAGCAGTTCCCTTCTCCATTCCCTGCATTACGGGGGAGTCGAGTTGGAGGAGAACATTATGGCCTTGTGCCATTGCCAGATCTCTGACCAAGGGTTCGCTGACGCTACTGATATGGTCGGCCCTACCATTGAAGTTCAGCGGCCCGGTAAGACTGAGACTGCCCTGGACGCTCCTCCAGGGTTTTTCACCGTCCACTTGGCCACCTTGAAGAAAGGGTTACGGTTTCCCTTGCATTCTTTATTTGTTGGTGGAGTTCCTCAACGAGATGGATCTCCCCCCAATTAGTCCCAATTTCTCACCAGTACATCGCTGGCTACTTGGTTAAATGTCAAGAGGCCAAGGTGACCCCTAGCCTCGACCGCTTCCTGTTAACCTTCAAGCTTGCCAAGGGCCACAAGGAATGGGCCTCATACGCCCGTCTTTCCTAGCGGTCGAGCAAGCTTTTCACTACGCCAGTCTTTTCCAGCGGTCGACCAATGATTGGAAGCCCTTCTTTATCTTTGTCTCTAAGGGGCCCGAATCTCCTTTCACAGATTCTGGGCACCCATCATTCTGTCTCATCGCACCTCCGCCGCCAAACGCCGTACTTTCATCCATCACGAAGAAGCTCTGCGGCAGGGGCACCGTTGAGATTAGATCGGTGGTCACCGAGGAATCCCAAGCTAAACTTGGTTTTGAGTTCGTTAGGGACGAACATTGCCACCATCCAAACATGCTGAGGGATCTCCACGGGATAAATGCCAATTTCGATCCCTTTGGTAAGTCCTCCCTCCCTTGGGCTAAGTATTTCAACATTACCATTTGTATGCTAACTGCGTTGTGTGTTTCAGTTGAACAAAGGGAGGGATTAGAACACGAGATGGACAACCAGCTGATGTTGCGCCATCTCCTAGGAGGGAAGAAGAGAAAGAGGGACATAGCCTTATTATTATTATTATTATTATTATTACTATTATTATTATTATTATTATTATTATTATTACAACTATTATGTTCATAACTATAGTTTATAAATTATTTTGTTTTTTCATCTCACTATTTTTATGATTCACACTGATTATTATCTTTTCTTCAACTTTTTAATATGAATAATGTCATTTTTTGTATATTAATCTACATAATAAAATAGCAAAACATCAACATTTTAAACTATTTTTAAAAAACTATGGATAAAAAAGTTACATAGAATATTTTCTTAATCTAAATGTATATAAGGAAAACATCAATATTTTAATCTAAAATATAATAATGGAATGGGGTGGGGAGTACTAGATTACAAAACCAAGAGAGAACTACATTTTGAAAAAAAACAACTCAAAAAGTGTAAAAAAACAAATTCAGATAGAACATAATATCACCAATAATTAAAATACAACTAACAAAAAAGTTATACTTTCATTTATTTGATTTACTTTTTACTGTCTCTAATATGTAAAATATTGTGCATATAAATAATTCAATTTTTTTCACGAGCGGAGAAAAAGGACCTCTCACCTTTCTCTTTATTACTCAATTTTTTTTATCATTTTTATGTATTTCAAAAATTAAATTTGTTTTTCATTCTTCTAATTTTTATAAAAAAATTGATAGTCAAATTACTTTAGAGAAAAAGTCTAAACTAGGAACAAAACATAAAAAATTGTAAAAACAAAGTTCTATATCTTTATTCCAACAGTAGGGTTACAATAAAAATGAAATATCAATCATTAAAGAAAAAATAAGTTTGATTAGATTATGTGACATCATCTAATATTTAAAACAAAATCTTACAATATATAAAGTATAATCAAAAATATATTATTTTATGATAAATACTGCATAAATAAAGTGACGTGCATCGTAACCACAATAAATTTTAAATATTTAACATTTTGATATTTATGCTAATTTTATATTCTAATTAATCCTTTTTCAAAAGTATAGGTAGTTTTTTGTATGAAAAATAACAATATTTTTTTTATCTTAAAGGCATTCGTTATGATAACGTGATTACACAACAACAACAACAACAACAACAACAAGAAGAAGAAGAAGAAGAAGAAGAAGAATAATAATAATAATAATAATAATAATTTATAACAACAATAGTTAGAATGAGAATAATATAAAAATACACACAAAAAAATTTATTTTTTTTAGATTTTCCCTTTTTTTCAGTTTCATTAAATTTTTTCCAATTTCTTACAGTTTCTTCTATTTTTTTTCCGGTTCCTTCCAGTTTATTCTAGTTCCATCCAGTTTCTTCCTGTTCTTCCAGTTTCTTCCGATTTCTTCCAATTTCTTCCAACATCCAGCTCTTTTTTCCAGTCCTAAAACAGTCTCTAAGTGATCCATATACAATGTATCTTCTTTTCACAAATTTTAATTAAATTGTTTGAAAGTATCGACTTTTCGTGGTTACATATTACTCTCCCAATCCAATAATTATGTTTCAATTTACTATTTAGATGGTTAAACTATATTTACTTTTTTTCTATTTTTTTAATCATTTGATAAAATAAAAAAATCTTGTTACCATGTATTTCATAAATTTTTGAAGTAGTTTTTATATACTGAATTTTATTTATTAATGTTACACCAATTTTTTGTTTAAATTTAATTAAAAGTAGCTTCGTCAAATTAAATATTATAATCCAAAATAGGGAAAAGTGATTAGTGGGGCATTATTATATGATACATGTATTCACAATTCAGCAAATTCATATACGTAGTATGTACAGACTTACAAACAGAAGAAATAGTTAATAGTGGAAAAAAGGTACAAAAAGGCCTTATTTGTCATACTAAAAGCACAAATCACTACAAACTAGACATTTTTATGGCGAAGAAGGGAGTATTTGTTTAATAACCCATTCATTCATCTCTTACAAATTGCTTGCTTTCTGCAATGACTTGAGAAACCCAACCATGCTGTCATAAACATCTTCTTTGGACCTTACACTCAAAATGAAATCAATGTGACCATAATCGCCTAGATACAGCACATCCGGCGTCCCTTTCAACTCCCTCAGTGTGTGTTCAACATCTGCCACGTCGGCCAAGGCATCATTCCCTCCATAGCCCACCCACAAAGGCAGGGATTGAGGAATCTGACTAAGGTCGAATTCCGGGGGGTTCCTTTGGCCATAAAGAATCAAGTTTTTCCATCGCCCGTAATCGTACTTTGCAAATGTGCCTTTCCTGATCACTGAAACACCCACACAGATTAGAGATAGATATATTATCACAACATAACAATAAGGATGATCGCATTGCAAGATGAATTACTTTGGAAAAGATGAATCAAGTTCTTTGTGGATGATGGGTGTGGTTCATAATCAAGATAGAGATCAATCCTGGAAGAGTTGAAACAGCAGTCCTTCCCTGCAAACATATTCCTGACTCCAGTAAACGTGAAAGGAAAGGCGCAAAAAAATCTGCAAGTTCGGCTGGGATTCTAATGGACACGGTTTGAGCAGGCGACATTGGGTGATTGAGTGAAACAAATTAGTTGTGTTCAAAGAATAAAAAAACGGAAACCTGTGATAGCTGATAACATGTCATCACAGTTAACATGTCCATCGCACATCATATCCATGATGCGAGTGGCCAAGTCACTGAAAAAAAATATTAACAGCACTGAAAAATAATTCAAGGGCTTAAATTCAAAACAACTAAGATACAATACTAGTAAAACCTCTTGAAATTAAGTTCATGAACGCCCAACGCAAGAATCACCTGTTCAAAGAGAAACATGTTTAGCATGATAAATTCTACACTGAGTCCTCATCACCAGCACTAATAACAAGGAGTCATCCAAATACCTCATCAAGATTCATCTTGACCATTCTAAGGACAAAAGTGGATGTTATATGATCCAAATACGAAATAGGGCAAAGGAGTGCTGCAGCTTCAACCATTTCTACTATATTTGGCTGGGTTAAAGCGGCCAGAGAAATTATTGTGCCCTGAAAAAAGAAAGAATGTTAAAAAAAGAAGAAGTAAACTATGAGGCAACACAAAGCTTGGTTTGTAAAAGGAATTTATACCTGAGAGTGCCCCACAATGGAAACCTTTGAGTCGGTGATTGAATACACATAGCGTGTCATCTCTGCTAGATCGTAAAGAGCCAACTCTTGCCAGCTCCAGTCCCAGAAATCCTTCAAAGAATCATGTCAAACATGTGATATGAACTTCGATGCATGTGGCATAAATTTCAAACCACATAAATGCAATACCCAACCGACCTTATCTTTCTCAGTTAGAGATGCATGTCCATGGCTCCAGCGAGTTCCTCGCACATTTCCAACCCAAACATCAAATCCATGATCAGCAAGTATAAAGCCCAACGATTGATTGACAGAATTCAGAAACCACGAATCTCCTGCCTGTTTTGAACAAAAAAAGTGCCAAAATCTTAGTAAAATTCACAAGAAACTTTAAGCTGACTGATCTCGAAACAATCCTACGCTAGAAAAATTCACATTTGAGAATCCATGGGGCAAATAACTTCCTTTATTCCACTAGTAAGCTAAGTGACAAATGTAAGTCCAACAAAGGTGGATTCAGATTAAACCCTTAGAGTAAGAGTGACACTGTTAAATCCAATACAATGTCTCGGAGAAGAAATTACCATAAAAAGACCGTGAAGGAGAAGAACTGGGGGAACCAATTCGCCCTTGACAATTCCGGAGCTGGACCCAACCCGTTGTAGCCCAAGAACATATCCATCCTTAGTTTCCGTCTACAATGAAAAATCAAACGACCACCTCTTCTATAAGCCAAAAGTATTAAACAATGTCTTCACAATGAAACATCAAACGAAAATAGACATAAAATACTGGAAGATGGTTGTGGGAAATTTACGGAGTGCTCCGAGCAAGAGAAACCGGCAGGTTGGATGAGGTGAGAACAGAGTCCAGTGACACCAGACTTGAGGCGTATGTTAGGAAACCCGGCAAAGCTTCCAGCGGAATCGGCGGCTGAAAGGAAGAGAGGCATAATTACTAGTAAAGCAATCGGATGCCGCATTTCTCCGGCCGGTTACTGCCCCGCCTGGTTAACAGAGATGGCCTATCGACATTTGCGCGGCCGATGATTGCTTTGACTTTTTCCAAAGAATCCACCAGGATAAATGGAATAAATTACATACAGATCAAAATATAAATATTTAGATTCAACTTAAAAAATACTTTCTCTACCGTTAAGTTAAAATTTCTCGTTTTGACTTGGCAGGAGTTACAGTGGAAAAGGAGATGAGTTTTCTATTTTGCCCTTCATGCGTCACTTTTTAGAAAACAAATCAAAAGAATAAAGTACATAGTACTTAATAGTGACAAAGTACAAAAGTTTATATTATTTTTCAATTCAATCATTATATACACTTGTTCATGTACATACACCCCATAGGCAGATTCACATCTGCAAAAGTGAAAGAACATTCTCCTCTAAAACACTCGAAACACATTAAAAAAATCAAAACGTGGAGGGAAATGTGCTACACATATTCTCTATAAATAATTCTTTCAAAAATTACAACACATGCCCTGTCTTTTTATTCTTCCTTTCTTTCCTTTTCTTCTTCTTCTTCTTCTCATCCTTTCTTTCCTTTTCTTCTTCTTCTCTTTTTTCTTCCTTAAAAAACTACAACCGTTCTTCTACCACATGTCCTTGCAAATAGAAAATGGTGGTGAAGAAACCCAAGCAAAAGAAAAAAGAAAATACAAATTGAGCAATAATGAAAGGAAAAATATCATTGATGCAATCGTGTTGGTAGCAAAGTCTAATGCACTAGGCAAGATTACTGCTCAGAGGGGTTGTTATAAGTAAAATTGCAGCTGATTTCAACAATACAAGGAGGACAATAAGCTTTTTGTGGAGACAAGCAAGAACTCAATTGGAGGAAAGGCGTGCCATTGATGTCAAGAGCAAGATGGCAGGTAATCTTGGTAGGAAAAGAATTGATGTAGACCTTAATGCAATATGTGACATTCCATTAAGGCAAAGAACAAACATCAAATCTCTTGCCATAACATTAAGTGTACCTAAGTCAACAGTACACCATGGGATTCAAAGAGGTTTGTTCAGAAGTCACACAAATGCAATTAAACAAATCCTTGTTAATTGAAGCAAATAAGCATGCAAGGATTCTTTTCTGTTACAAACAACTAGAACCCTCAAGTATCCCCTCTAACCCTAGATTTAAAACCTTTTATAATGCTGTTCATATTGATGAAAAATAGTTTTTCATGTCCAAGACAACCCAGAGGGTTTATTTGGGGTTAGAGGATGAGGATCCTTATAGAACATGTAAATCTAAGAGGTTTATAACTAAGGTGATGTTCTTGGGGATTGTAGCAAGACCCATTCTTTCCCAAGAAGGGAAGGTAGTATGAGATGGGAAATTGGAAATCTTTCCATGTATAGAAACTGTGCCTGCCAAGAGAAAGAGCAAAAATAGGGTCGCAGGGGTGCTGGAGATTAAACCAATTCATAGTGTTATCAAACAAGTCTTTAAAGACATGTTAATCCATAAAGTCATACCCACCATCCAAGAAAAGTGACCAGCAATGCTTGGGACAAACATCATCATCCAACAAAACAATGCAAGACCACATATTCCGGGCAATGACTATGACTTTGTGGCAGCAGCTACTTCAATGGGTTCAACATTACTTTAACAAATCAACCCCCTAATTCCCCTTATTTGAACATCCTAGACTTGGGATTTTTTAGGGCAATTCAGTCTCTAAAAGAGCAATCAGCTCCTACTAGTGTGGCAGAATTCTTCACAGCAATTGAAGACTAATATGCAAATTTATCAGCACACACTTTAAATAAAGTGAGGCTGAGCTACCAACATTGCATGTAAGAGGTACTAAAAGTGGGTGGAACAATTATAAAGTCCCTCATATGGCCAAGGATAGACTCACAAGAGAGAGAACTCTTCCTAATGCTACACCTAGAGGAGAGTGTACTGCAACAGACACTTGAACTACTGGGTAAGCATACCACCCAAGCTACACATGTTGTGGAAGTGGAGGAAGACGATTTGGCAGTGTTCATTCTTGAAGATGAAGATGACTTCGATCTTCAAGAGTGAACTTAAAAAATGTATTTTGGTTTTTTTGTAAAAGTTTGATGATGTATTCTGGTCTTTTTTAAATTTTGCTCAATTGTTTTTGTGTTTTTGGGTTTTTGGGTAGATGGGTTAGTAAACAAAAATTACATAATACTCACCTTGTAATTACTTTTTATATCATTGAAGTGTACTTAAATTCTACCCAATCATTATTGCAGTTTAGACTAGCCCATTGTGCACTATGAATGCATTTGACATTATGAATACAGGAGTAGGTTCACATAACAGTAAGTTCAGGATTTCTCGAGTGTAATAAAACATCACAACATGCTCACTGAAGCCAATTAGGAGAAGCATGACATTCACATCAAATACAACATACATTAGGGTCAGAACATAGGGGAGGTTCACATCACAGCAAGTTCAGGATTCTTCAAAATATATAAAGGGCAAAACATCGAATGAATCACACATACATGAATTGCACAACGTATAAGGAAAAAGATTAGACAAGGATTACTTAGCGTTAAGAGACTTCCTTAAAGAAAAACCTTGTTTCCGCCTTCGAGGGGTCAAATCTTGCTTCCGCAAGGGAGGAATCTGCTCAATCACAGCAACCCAACCCCCTGTCACTCGTAGTGGAAGGAGGCTGCATGGCTTTATCCCTATCATCGCCTCCAATTTCGTAGAGATTAGGGTTAGGAGTGTTTGAAATTTCAGGGAGACGGTACAAATCCTCTAAATTTATGAAAACACCTAGATCTAGGGTTACGAATGAGAAGAAAAAAGATCAAAAGTGAGAGAGTGTGATGATAGTGAGGAAGATGGCGACTCCATCACAAATTCACAGCAAGTGATGACAGCGAAAATGAAAGAGACAAAAATTTACTCTCTAGATGTAAAAATTAAAAGCAATGTAGGTGGATGAGAAGGAGATAGAGTGTTAAAGAGTAGATAATGAAAGTGGGATGACGTTATGAAAGTGGGGTGAGGGTTAGAGTAGGTTAGGTGATGTCATAGAATACTCTGTAAATGTAAATAGAAATAAAGAGGGGTATATAGGTCATTGTAAGTGTTTTTTATTTCCAAATAAGGAAATAGGAAGAATCAAGTGGGACGGTCTAAAAAAGAAAGTGAGAAGAAAAATATGGGACAGATGGAGTAAAATGAAAGAATAAAATCAAAAACACTAATAATAATTTTTTAAAATAGATAACAAAATAAATTTAAAAATGAAAACTACAAATAAAAAATTAAAAACAAAACATTTTTCCCCTCCAAACCAAACAAGGTGAAAGAATTTCTTCCCTTCTCATTCCCTCACATCCATTCTTTCCCCTCTCCTCTCTTTTAACCAAACATACCCTTTAGAAATCACTTTATCTACAAGTTAATCTCTCCTAAGCACCCTCAAAGTAACAGATAAAGCTACTCTCCATATTTCTAGTTAGATACATTAACTATCAAATTAACATAGACATTCCATATTATTTATTCATATTCATTTAAAATTTAATGTATTTAAAAATCTAGAAACCACACTTTCTATCCACTTTTTTTTCACTCTCCCTTATTTTTCTTTTCATTTCCTAAACTAGCACCTAAAAAATCAGCCCATGTACTACCCATTCGAATGTCAGTTTTTCTTTTCATCTCACATTAAAAACTGTTACAAATCAAAGCGAAAAGTTCCAAACTTAGAAAATTGAAGTATTTTGTTTTATGTGCTTCGGAAAAGTACAACTCGAAGACGTCTATCCAAATTGAGTAAAGATTGGCCTGTTTTCCTGTTTAAAAAACTAAATTCTTAATTACCCAATTCAAAAAGACAAGGAAAATAAGAAGCTTACCAGAAATCAGATTAGAATCACCATTAACTCAGAAGGCCATTACCAAGTAGGGATTGCAGTACTACGTATGATCAAAATCTAATCTAGATATGATCATCATCATCATTATTATGCAAGTAAATATGATCTTCACAGTAATCCCAAAACAAAGACCACAACTTCACGATAATTTCTTTTAATTCTCAAAAATTAAACAAGACATGCAGAAAAGAAAGAGCAAATTGTAGAGGGAGAGAACCAAATCTCAAATTCTAATACGAGTATGTTATAAATTTTCATGGTTATTATGGTTTGCACCGTACGATTGTTCTCTCAATTTTAAAACAGAAATTAGTTGAAGAGCAGACTGCCGAGGAGGCTGAATGGCGATTCTGAATAAATTTCATCCATTTAGGTTGATCTCCAACCCAGAGCTTATTGTCGCGATTCTCAACATCTTTACACAACCAAGCAAGTATAGCTGATCGATCCCCTGGAGCACAGTACCACAGCCTAGCAGCAACACTTTCTGTTTTTTAGACCAATTTTGAAGAGCAACATATAGTAAATATACATATTCACACCAGCCAACTCACGGCCTAGCAGGAGTTTGAGTTTTAGGGTATCATTACCGATGGCATAAAAGCTCAGAATGTGATGCAATGCAGGGAACGTATTGAGGACAATTTTCCACGGCCTACAGGTCTCCAGTGTCCTTGGTCACCTCTGTTGTTTTCTCACTTAAGCCCAACCGAATACCCATTTAACATGTCATCTGCCTCGATCAACGGCCATAGCTGGCTCTTCCAAGAGGTAATGATTGTGTACGTAAAATGCCGAAATGAGGCCATTTCTGGGAAAATCAGATTAAGTTACACCTAATTGCCACACACCATTGGCAAGTTGCTAAGACCCCCCACCCACCCACCCCCCACCCCCGTGAAATAAGTTTGAAAAGATATACAAGTCAGAAAATTGAAACCTACTCTCAGAGAGTGGTGAAGTTGAGATTTTGGAGAGAGTGTTGTGATCATCAATCGGGTATTGCCAAATCAATGACAAAGGCAGAGGNCGAAAAGATATATAAGTCGGCAAATTGAAACCTACTCTCAGAGAGTGGTCAAGTTGAGATTTTGGAGAGTGTTGTGATCATCAATTGGGTATTGCCAAATCATTGACAAAGGCAGAGGCCACACACCACTTGTAGTAATAAATTAGTCCTTCACATGAGACAGCGGTAGACTTCCCCCATACGTTTCGCTAACACGAGCCTAACAAAGGATCCAGAAAAAGTCAATTCCAAGACAGGTAAGAAGAATAAGAATGCATGATCCATAACTCAATAGGAGTGAGATGCCTGCAACTAATGAATATGCAAAACAAATGATTACTAGAGTACTGTATTTCTTTTTTTTTTCTTTTTTTTTGAGGTAGCATTACTGTATGTCTATCCCTCTAAATCTCTAATATATTCAAATACTGCAGTTTGTGTACACTTCAACAGTCAGTGAAGAGAGAAAAGCAAAGCTTTTTTGCATATATCTGGACAAACAGATATAGAATCTATAAACATTTGTGATAACCTGAAGGTAAGGAAGCAGGCTGTTGTAAACTTCACAGAAAACTTTTGACGTTGCAGTCAACCTGTATCAAAAACAAAATTTTGAAATCAATAGAATTAAGCATTAGCATACCTGAACAAATAATCATTAATTCAATGGGGGAGAGATATCATGGCAATGTAAATAGAGTTGCAAGAAGAAAAACAAAGTCTAGCATGAAAGAATGTAGAGATATTGCAGAGGCAATGATTCTAGAAGACTAATGTGTACCTTCTCAGAAGGCAAGCACAGACATAAACCTCTTCTATGTCTGTTTCAACTTTTAGTTCAACATATTGCTTGACAAGTTCACACATGGAACTCACAGCATTACACCATGTATCATCCGCATCTTCAATGACACATATCTCACACATAATCTTCTGCAGCACTAATGATAACATGTTGTTTGGTCTTGATTCACAAAAAATATGAGCTAAAACATTCAAAGTCTTGCAGTTACTAGCTTTAAATTTGTCGATCCATTTAGGTTGATCTCCAACCCAGAGTTGATTGTTCTGAATGTTGTCATACTTAAGGGAAGCATGTGAGGGTGACTCGCAGGTCCTATGCGCTGGAAGGTTCTGGAGTATGTCAACCTTCAACTCCTCAGGCAGCTGCTGCAACACTGAGGTATCTACTAGACTTAGAGAAGAGGGCATTATACATGCCTCTACATCAGAACAACCATTAATATTCATATTTGATTTCTCTAAACTGGAAGCAGCACCAGAGCAAGAGTCTGCAGGAGCGTTCTCCTTTATATATTGATGCACGTAATAAAAATATTAGAAGACAATTAATCAAAATCTTATCTCACTATTAGATGAATTGGGGATACTAAAGATATTATCTCACTATAAGATGAAATACTGATACATTATATGTAAATAATCCATTCGAATACCTGACGACTTACCAAATTATCCGATGAACCAAGGCAACTAGAAGAACGTGTCTTTTCCTTACTGAGTGTACCTGCTTATGACAAGGAAGAAACCCATCATGAAAAAGGAAATATGGATGTGCATGTTTTTGTGTGTGTTTGTCCATAAAAGAACAGATTTAACAAGTTACCATCCAAACTTTTGTGGCATATATCAGCTCTAATGTTTTTCCTTTCTGAAATAAAGTTCAATAATTCCCCATTGTAAATTTCATTTATTTCTGAAAGGAGCTCGGGAGGAAGAGAGTCTATAACACCCACATCAAGATCATGCATAGGAGGAAGACCAGCATCTTGTCTATTACCAACATTACTAGTAGACGGCCTAGTATTGCTTTGAACCAAAGGTCCTACTAAAAAACTTGCTAAATGGGTAGTGTCTTCATCAACACTTTGATTACCATTACCTGCAGAAAAAAGGAAGTGTTTTGTTCATGTGTAAATATAGCTACAACAAAGCTCAAGGAACTTTAAGCTGATTGAAAATAAACAATTGATAAATGGTATTCATAGCATACTGAAAACGGTAAAAGGAGCAAACAGTTCAGAGATGAAATAATTTACTTTCTAAAAACTAATATCGTGCAGCCCACACCTCAGATAATTCGTGCAGGTGAGCTCAGTCATGGTTTTCGAAGGCATTTGAGGAGGTGTGCCTCAGGGTGCAAAGCAGTGGCTTTAAGCCTCGGGCGCTTATGCTTCAGTTGTGACAGATGAGGCTTACGCCCCAGGTTTATGAGGCAGAACTCAGAAGGGAGGTGTAAGCCTCAGTTTTAACGAGAAATTCATTAGTGTGATGGGTTATTTTTAAAAAGCTATGGGCTGGAGGGTACACCATATATATCTATCATTATTATTTGGCCTTTTTAAACCTAGTATATTGATATTATAAAAAGTTAGAGTTGATAATTGCTCGAGTCTCAAGTGCCATCTTCGTCTCTCCATCAGCAAGTATTCAGGTCGGCTGAAGAGTTTGCAACAGCTAATGTAATTTCTTCATCTTTTTCTTTTAACTTGTAATTCTTCTGATTAGGGAAACAAGCGGGCAACCATGTTTTTTCCTTATCTTTTTGGATCTCTCTCTCCCACCTTCCCTCCCTCCATCTCTCTCAATTTTTATTGAATCTCTGAAATTTGTTTTCTTATTCAGATAGTTTGCAGCTATTGGTATTTGTTTTGTTCTTTTTTCCAAAAACTAAAATTTTTAAAATTTGTTTTTGAATTTATAATCTATTTAGAATTGAGTTTTGGAGTTTTAGCGTTAAAATGTTCATCATGATTATCTTTTTGCTTGTCTATTTTGCCATCTTTTTTTGTTTTAAATGACAAATATGTATGGTTATGTAACTTTTATTGGACATGTTATGAATGATGCATTTGTTGTACTCTGAAGTAATCATTTTACTCTTATTTGAAAGCATTATATGCATAAATAGTCTTTGTGGTCTTCATAAGTAGGTAAACAGTCTTCGTACTTTCAAAATTTGTGAAATAGTCCCTAATATAGAAAAAACCATTGCATAATTAGTCCTTTAAAGAAAACGCGAGGCACGTAGAACACGCACATACTATGCGAAAATGTGAAGCATGTGATAAAAGCAGAGACAACAAATGCACTATGAACAAAAATGTGATGGAGGTTAAAGGAAATGTACTTTAACCTGTATCAGCACTCTTTGACTGATTACTTTTAGGGCGGTTACTGTCATTTGTCATGGTAGAAGAAAGCCAAGCATGGATTGAATTCTTCTCATTACCTTAGAAAGTGTGTTAAAGAATTCCCATAAAATACATATAAGCAAAATTTGAAAATACACACACCTATATAGAATATGTAGATTTGAGAAGTCAAATCCAACCAGGAAACCACCGACAAGACACAAAATAGCCGAAACAAATATCTTATAGAAAAGGTTGTTGTCCCAGTCATAAAATGAAAAACAAACCTTGTTTAGTATTAAATGCCATCTCAAGTTTTGTAACTTGGAAGCCCATTCCTCTTATATCCTCTACATCTGCATAGAAACAAACAAAACAGCAAAAGTGAAAGAAAGGAGAATTAGATTGATACATATAATTAAGATAGAGCCCATAAACAATATACCCTAGTAATGAAAATGAAGGGACTAGAACTACTCGAGATAGACAACCACTACTTGCATGCAATGACCAGAAGAGCTTGGGTTATGTGCATCTTTTATAAAATATTACTACCTCCTTCCGCTATTTTTGGGACGAGGGAAAGTGGCACACAAATTGGGAAGAGGGAATTGTGAGGTTGATATTGAAGTTAAAAAGTAAAAAAAACAAGAATCAATGTGAGGATTCTGAGCCACATTAATGTTACTAATTTTCGTGAGCGAAAAAATTAGTCGGAGACAGACAAGAAGGTAAACAGCAACAAAGAGTGATGCGGATGGAGTAATAATCAAATCTGGTTACCTATTTGAAAATGTCCAAAGAGCTGAGAAGCTATCCTATAAAGCACATCGACATCATCTGTAGCCATTGCCACCTAGTTTGAAAAATTCAGTAAAAAATAAAAGGAAATTTTAGTAGGCATAGAACCCAACAGACATTTTGTTCATTATAGCAACAAAAAGAATCAAACCGTTGTAGAGTGACTCAAGTTGTCACAGATTCCGCAACCCAAATATTTTGCAGGCTCCCCAGCATCAATCTTCCTCTTCTTTATCTGGACAATAAATTACACCAGAGGAATAAGTAGCCCGTTAAATTATTTAATAGAAAACAAGAGTGAAGCTAAGCAATGTTAGAGGTGTGTCATGTGTGTATGCATCAGATTGGAACATCAGATTCAAGATAGTTCCCAACCCTAAAGGCCTAAATAGATGGTAGAAATGAAGACAAGGATGAACCTTAAGGGTAAAAGTGCGGCCCTTAACGCCACATCCCTGCAAACGCAATGAAACCTCATCACAGAGCTTCTTTAAGAAATGTTGAGCCTGCAGTATAAAGCATCAAATACTGTGAGGAACTCAAAATTTCAGATAAAGGAAAGTAGGAAGCAATTGTAAGTATGGATTAAAAAGCACTAACATCTTTCAGATCCTTGAACCTCACACCCCAGTTGACATCAGCACCTATTGACTTGTTTTCCTGCAAAGATGTAGCAAACATAAAGGCTGCTAATGTTTATAGAAGATTTCAAACAATTAAAATAGGTGACGTAGACACAACAATGACATGCAATGTACGTGTGGCTTTCTTTTGGCATGAAAGTAGCAAAAAACTAAACAAGTTTGCATAGTCAGGGTTCAGTAACTACTTTAAGTAAAAGGACGCTTTTACCCTTAATAACCTAC